TCAGATCTCTCGCCTTCAGGGGGCGCAGTATTTGTACACCGGGTACCGTCAACGAAGAACTACAGAGAATCAGCGACGCCCTCAGAGAAAATGGGTATCCTGATAAATTTATCATGAAACATTTGAAGGAACACAATCGAAAGCCACCTAGGAGCATTGCTCCTAAGAAAGAGCTTTTCATACATATACCCTTTAAGGGCGATTCTGCAGCTGATATGTTATCCAGACGTCTGAAAGATGCTGTCGAGAAAACTTATTTCGCGGCCCTCCTGAGAATCGTTTTCACAATAAGCCGTTGTTTACAAAACCCTTGAAGGATAGACTACCGCCGTTGACCCTTTCAATGATCATTTATCAGTACTCGTGCTCCTGTGGTGCACGATACGTGGGTCGCACGACGAGGCGCCTATCTCAGAGGATTCTTGAACACATCCCGGCATGATTTTACAAAGGCGAAATGAGGTTTCCAGACAGCTCAATCATGTCGTACCTCCTTGAATGTGGCCATACAGCTTCAGAGAATGACTTCAAAGTCATTTACTCATTACCTTAACACTTATCCCAAGGATTCCGCAAACAACTCTTATCCATCGCCGGGCTATGTACATTCACCATCTGAAGCCGGAATTATGTGTCCAAAAACGATTCATACGGCCGATACTACTACCTTGGCCAACGGACACCGTTACTTAGTTATTTGATTGTTACCTTACCTACTTAATTACATTGCACTACTGAGCCTTGTGTATACATGTTTATTTAGTTTACTTGGTCTACCATCTCTATCTCTGTCTCACGTTATCGATTTTGGTCATTCAAACAGTCCAGAAGTCAATCCCAGCCCCAGTTGACGCTATCTCCACAATCACTGTTATGTAAACGTTTGGGTCCGATGAGATTTACCGAAAAGAATACTTTACCCTGAAATGATTTCTGCTATTGATTCATACTTGTAATCATTGCTTTGATAGAGCTAAAGTTGGTTCACCCCGTGATCATACGCAAAGTCTGAAACATCTTATGTAATTGTTTTATATATCCTACAGCTAAGTTGTTAATCTCATTGTGCGAAAGCGGAGAAAAGAAACAACTACAGAAAACAGTGTTTATAATAGGTTTGAAACCAAAGTAAAGCGTTCCACAACTAACTCAGAACGGTAAGTCAGTGAGATTAGGTCATAATATTCCTGCCAATTTAACAGTTGCCAAGTGGTATAAGGAAGTGAAGCGGGGTATGGAGTCATGTAAAGATGTTGATCACTGTAGGCTGTGATCAAAATCGATATAATAAAAAGCACTAAAATGGTTAATATTATCATCAAGCTGGATGGAAGAAAAACATTTCATGACAGTTACAGTGTCTGTGTGTATTTCGGCTGGCAGAGTGCAGTTGGAAAACTTCGGAAGTTTCTCTTTCTGATACAGGGAATTGGCAGCAGGAGACTTGGTGTTAGCAGAAATAATTAAGATAACAGAAGACAATCAATCCCCAACTTATCGAAACGCTTGAAAAGCGTTGGGTCAACGCCTTCTGGGGCGGTTTAATCATATTGACCAATGATTGCCCTACTCCCTGAGCCGTCCCCTTGGATCTGCCTTCATGCGCGGAAGTCGAAGGTGAGGTCAAACTGTTGAATTCGAATAAAACCAATGGGGTAGATATATTTCTTAGAGCCGCTTTTAAATTCGGGGGCCGGCTCTCGTGGAGCGTTTGCACAGCCTACTTGTGAAGCTGTGGAAGCAGCCAACTGTTCCAAAAGATTGAAGCCGCTCCGTTATAGTTCCGATTTTCAAGAGCGGCTCATATTCCAAATGCTGCATTCATAGAGGACTAAGTGTGATCCCAACTGTCTTTATATTGTTTGCGTCTGTTGCTATAAACAGACTGGCTTGCACTCGTTGGAACCACCTTCGTGAGGAGCAAGCCGGGTTTCGTTGAGATCAGGTCTGTATCGATCACATGTTTACTTCGTGATAATTTTTGTAACACAGTCGCATATCTTATTGGCCCACTGTGGTTGTGTTCCTCGACATCAAAATTGTCTTCGATTCGGTGTATTGATGTGCCTTTCGGGGTTGTCTACTCAAAAATGTGTGCCCGAGAAATAGTTATATAGTATCCCAGCACATTTCACGCATGGTTCGGGAAAAATGAGGGTATATAACAAACGGTCGTCACCATTTAATGTATTCGGCAGTGTAAAACATGTTTGCCAACCGCCAACTTTTCTTCTTAACTTCGCCATCGACGAAGTTATGGAAACCGTGTTTTCTGTGCATAAACTACAGGAAATGGAGCTGCTTCCAAATGATCGATATTCTTGAGTTAGACTATGCCGGAAACATCCCCTCACGTGTGATAGCTCCCAACTTGCTAAACAGCATCGACAATTTGGAATTGGGTGTCAATCGTTTCGGCTATGCTTTGCACCGTCGAACTGGAAAATCCTTCTTCAAGATTGGCAGGAACCACCCCTGCGCTGACTTTCGGTGATGGTCAACTAAAGGTCGATCAGGAATTCAACTATCTGGGCAGCTACATTATCGCCGGTGGACTAGAAGATGAAGTCGCACACCGTATAGCAAAAGCTGTAAGTGTGTTCGTCAATCTCCCGCCCTTTGTGACGTCGGCGCCACATTCTTCTTGCCCTGAAGACTAAACTTTACAATGCAGCCGCCTGTTCAACCCTGACCTACAGTTGCGAAACCTGTGCTATCAGTTCGAGAGACCTAAAAAGGCTAGTTACCTTCTATTATCGCTATCTTCGCACCTTACCTCTTGCTTGTTGTGAACACCGCGTGAGCAATGCTCGCGTTCAATTTCGCATATTTGTTACAGTATCACGTACCTGGCTGGGATGGCTGGATCGCGTGCTGCTCATGCCAGCCCACTGATTCTCGCGTAGTGCGTTGTTTGCGCTACAGGATTGTAGATGGGAGAAGAAAGTCGGATATCATGCGATGATTTGCTCAAGAGGATTGAGGAACCTCACTTCAAAGTTGACGCCGACTGACATCCTGTCTACCGGCCAAGGGCCACAAATTCAATCAACCTGTCGGCTTGCAAACACTTCGTGACATGGCGAAGAGCAGACTTCAATGGCTCTCTTTCTGTGAATTCGTTTTCCTCCTCATCCCACTTAGTCACCCCTGAAACCACCATCGCCTCCAGTTCATAATGTGGTACTTGGCATTGTAATGCTTTTTTAGTTATTACAATCCACATGGAGTAGCGTCGTTTTTGTATTGCGGCACGTTGGCAAAAGTGTTTTACATTCTCAGGTAAATTACGCTGATGGTGTTGATGAGTGTGTATTCTATTTTAAGGGTTTATTTGGTGTTACGAAGAGTTAGTGGTGATGGTTGTCACAAACATGAATAGCTTAGTAGATGGCCTATCGTGTTTAGATGTGCCAAGAAAATATGAGTCCCCTACAAGTGGATCCACTATGATTCCGGTCTCGTAAAGCTATTATAAATAAAACTAAAATCCACTAAGTTGATCCTGAAACCAAATGACAAAGCTTCGTGTGAAATACACATGCTAATCTCCGTCTGCTACAGTTTGCGGAGGCTGCAGCAATTCGGCGGCTGAAGCCAAATCTATGCAAGCAAACGGATTTCGTGATCACGCTAGCCCTATCCTGATGAGGCTGGTGATTGCATTTTCCTCGGAACAGGTCACGTGAGCTTAAGGACCTTCGACCGCTTTGAAATTTTACGGTTAACATCGCACTGTTTTCCACTAACTGTATGTAAACAGCAGACGAAAATACGCGAAATCTCTGTATTCAGTAAATTCTGTTAAAATGTTTTTTCTTCTTGCTTTATTGAAATTCTTGAAGGGAATGCCTACATAAAATATACTAATTTACCACCATCCGGAATATTCTGTTCGGTAGACTCTGCTGGCAAGATCATGGCCTCTATTTCCTGGGACACATGAGGAATACTTTTGCTTGCTTATCTTGGTCATGGTCGCACCATAACTGGTCAAGTTTATAAAGGCTTAGTTTAGCAACTACTGGATGCATTTGAACGTAGGGCACAGGTTTCGCACACAAATTGCTTTAGACATAGAAATTTGTGAATAAGATGATAAACCCACCGCTGTTTACAATGTTTATCGTCGCACATGTGATTCTCACTCGCGTCCTTCTACGGGATTTGTTGTCATTTGGCGTTGTTACACGTAACTAAGCAATACGCCACTATTCGATGAACAACTAGAAGAGGTTGACCCGTTCTCTCTATCCAATGAACCGTATCGTGGCTTAATAAGTCACACTCGGCTTTTCATTAAATGATTTAAGCAGTGTCGTAAACATTATCTCCAGGATCATGATAGTTTATTGCTTAGTGGTGTCGGTCGGTAACCATGAATTCACAAGCTCGAATATAAATCAACCTACGCCAAACGAGAGATTCTGAGTAAATACTTAAGCACCAGTAGAGTACAGTACCTGGAGGAATTCGAAAACATTTTTAGGTACGTTCTAGCACGTGACGCAAGTAATAAGATCCCACCCGCGAACATATTGCAACACCCTCTCGAAACGTCCCCTCCTTCCTGTGGATCTATCGGATTTTCTATCTACAAAGAGATCTAGATGAACGAAAACCGCCAATTCCATGAGCGACAGGTTTACTTGATCGGTAAACTTCGGTTGGACAAAGTTGTAATGATTAAAGTACTAACACCTCTCTCCGAAACGTAAACCAAACCCTAAATTTCTACTGTTTTGTACGGTTCGAGACTGTGGCGAATGTGTCTATTACAACGCCTTTAACGAGACCGCTTTTCTTGTCGCTGTGTCAAATGTATCATACAAGTTAAAAAAATCCAGAGGATTTAAACACTGCGTAGCGTTATAAGTACCACTCAGTTCATTCTCTCACTTTTGGTCACTATATCTATAAAAGAGCATATCCTAAAAGTGATTGCAAACTGGTCGTCTTCCAGTCATATCTGCCGACATCAGATAAAGGCTTGTGCTTACCTGTGGGTTCTCGAGGTCGATTAGTTTTGCCGTGATGAGAACGACAGGGTATTCATCACTTCGGTGCTCTTCCTGCTGTTTACCCGCAGTCGTGACGTGAAACGCAACCAAGTAGTTCGGTTTTGTCTCCAAGTCTGATGCATCAGCGGTCAATGAATCCTCTTCCCTGCAGCTAGATGTCACCGGTTCCTCTACCGTTAGCTTGAAGGGGGCATCTTCTCTCACAGTGTCCTCATGCGGAATGTTCATTTTATCCAGATTGTGTGTCCAGTGGCTAATCCTTTTCATTCAATGAAAATCCGATCACCGGACCGGTTCATTCAGTCGATCAGACTTTATGGTGTAGTGTACAAGACGAATCGTGTTCTGAATGCTACTGCTTGGGCGTACGTGATTGTGTATCAGCACGGCCGAATTTATGTTCCCACAAATCAACAAATCGACGGGTTTTCCCCAATTAAATCCGAAGTCTCTAGAGCGGAAGTGTGTCGTTATGGTTTGCAGTGAACAAGTGGGGATACAATGTTAGTCAGATTAGTACTAAGATTTGTGTCTCATTATCCCCACTAACATACTAGGACAGGTGGATTTGAGCAATCAGAAGTGCGCGTCCACACCAACATGCAATCGATCCGCACAGAAGGCACGCCCCATGACAAATGCTCAGACAAGCTGAGTGCGAGGTTAGGTGCGTATGTGCATGTGTGGGTGTGTGGAAACCGTATGCAAAGTAAGGCAGACTTAGCCTCTTCCCAATACACACAGTTCGATAATTCGATTATAGAATGAACATTGGGAGCGGTACATATAACTGGTAACCTGAAAAATTGTTGTACTACTTCACCGAAGAGTACAAATTTCTGCTGTTTTAAGCAGATTTTGTAATTATCTTTTTAATGTATTGGGAGCGTAATGTAATTATTGTGTGTAAATATATGCTCCACCTGAAGAGATCGAGGTGCCACACCACCGAGAAGGAATCAAGCAGAGCCTGGGGAAGACAAATCTGACTTAGCCTTATGCTAGTGGCATTGTGCTAGAACTCGCAAGCCGAATTCAGTTCAACTAGAAACAATATTGTTGAATAAACTTTACATTGGCGATGTCCATTGCTAAACGGGTTTAGTTAGTGGTATACATTTGTGTTTGGTCTCAAGCAACATAGTGACTGCCTTAAGCGTTCAAGATAGACTGTCTAGAAGGCAGTTGGACCTGAGAAATTTACGCTCAGGACCTCAAATCGGATACCAAGTGCTTGGGACAAAGATGCGCGTTTTTAGATGTACTTTTGACATAATTGATTAGCGTGATGAGTGAAGCGATTCCAGGAACTATCGATATAAGCAAGCCCTTCTGGAATTGATTAAGTCAAGGTGTAGAGACCAGAAGCAAAACGATGAACCTACCAAGCAGCTGTGTTCGATCCAAGACAACAGTAACAAGAGTAGTGGTTGGACAGTCTGGCGTTTGCCGGATAAGGAAAATCACGAAGCACGTAGCTTATCGTACGAAACGAAGCAGTGAATGAGTGGCATGCATTACTCGCATGACTGCAAAAGCAAAGACAAGTCAGCCGAAGCAGCGATTCGGAGGTAAAGAGCACACAAGTAGCGCGGGCTCTGGTATCCAGCAAGGCGAAATGGAGAACAATTACAACGTACTTTAGACTGATGAACAAATAGCAACTTATCTGTAACTGAACTAGAAGAAGAAACTTTCCTTGCGGAATTCCATCCGTTTCAATTTTCAGGAGTCTGTGCAAACAAGCAACGAAGAAAGTAAAGACCTATTGCTCAGAAGGCCGATCGCGGTTTCTAGTTCGGTTACAAATCGTTGCGCAGAATGTTGTGTTATAAACCTGGAACCGACAGGTGAGTCACTGACAATGGGTGTTCGAGTAGTTTGACGCAACCGTCTTCCTTCATATGCTCAAAATGTAAGTAAGCTCACACTTCAAGCACGCCCGGCGGCTCCTGCTGCGGCCTGCGAGTAGCCTTCACAAACGTTTGCAGTATTATAATTAAGCGCGATGAGCTTTGTTGTTTCGTTGCGTCTGAGCATCCAGACTTTGTGGGACTCGCAGAGACATGGCTGCATGCAGAGTTATACACCCAAGAACTTGAACTCAACGGTTACTCGTGTTTCCGATGCGATAGACTAAAGAATGCCCACGGTGGTGTCTTACTTTACATCCGGTCTTCCCTGCGAGGAAGACTTGTGAGCACCTACAGAAGTGACGATGGTTTGTGTGAGCTACTGTGGTGCTCCATCCGCCTCAGGCGCGGAGAACTGCTTGTGGGCGCATTTTATCGCAGCCCCCTGAGTCGTTGTTTGGATTGGCTGCCCATTCTTCGGACCCACATGAGTCGTCCACACTTCCTACTTATTGGAGATTCTAACTGTCCTCAAATACGATGGCCTGATGTGCATTTGATGCCTGGACATAATGAGGTTGAAGCAAAGTTCGTGGATTTGGTACTTGAAACTGGAGCATCGCAACACATATGCCAGCCAACATGCATATCAACACGTTGAAACCCGTCCTGTCTCGACCTGATGTTAACGAGCTACGAAAAACGATTGCGTGACGTTAGGATCCTGGAACCCATGGCTACGAGCGACCACTCAGTACTGATAGATTATATGGAAGTATCTTTGCCGTATTCACATCCGCTGCAATCAGCTCCCAACTACTGGAAAACGGACTTCGATGGTCTAGCTCGAGCCGCGAGCCAACTGGATTGGTCTCTGACACAAGCTGCATCTGTGGGAGATTGTTGGATATTTATAAATGAGAGATTGACATCATTGTGTTCCCAATTTGTGCCATTGAAATGTCGAAAGGTTGGACCGATCAAGCCTCATTGGTTTGACAAGGAGTATGGAAACCTGGCTCGGAGGCGGCGCAAACTGTGGGACAAATTCCTCCTCACTTTCTCTGCCAATGATTATGAAGGGTATAAATGTCAGCGGAACCTCTGCAACAGTGCGAAAAAGAATAAACGCCGACATTTCGAAGAGCAGCTCGCATTAGCCGCGAAGACCGCCCCAAGAGAATCTTTGCATACGTGAAGCGACGCCTGAAGCCGGCAGGTGATGTGCCAGTGCTAGATGGCACGGATGGACAGCCCCTAACCTCCAGCACTGAGCGTGCGTCCGCGTTGGCGGCGCACTTCGCTTCTGTATTTGCGAATAACCAGGTGTCTGTTCCGAGTTCGACGTGTACCGCTTTTACCCAACTCGATAGTCTGCATTGCGGCGTTGAAGAGGTAGGTCAACTACTCGCCAACCTTGACGGCACCAAACCTGCCGGACCTGATGGGCTTCACCAACTGCCTTTCAAGTCACTTTCAACCATCCTCTCTCCTGTCGTGACTGGAATTTTCAACAGATCGATGTCCGAAGGTTTGTTGCCGGTTGATTAGAAATGTTCGGTGGTGAAGCCAATTCCGAAAGGCGGCGACCCTAGCAAAGTAGACAATTACAGACCAATTTGTCTGACACCTACTTTGGCAAAGGTTGCTGAGAAAATCGTGAAGATGGCATTGCTGCAGTTGCTACAGTCAAACGAGGTCCTGACGCCCGCACAGCACGGTTTGATGCAAGGTCGCTCGTGAATTACGAACCTGCTTGTGACGAGGCATGAGTGGTTGAAGGCAATAAGCAAGGGGAAGTCCGTCAACGTGATATTCATCGATTTCAGTAAAGCGTTCGACAAAGTCAGTCGTGAGGTTCTCCTTCACAAACTCAGAATATGTGGTGTCGATGGCTCACTGCACCGGTGGATCCGCGGCTTTCATGTTGGACGAAAGTGGAGGGTACAAGTCGACGACCATCTAACTGACTGGTACCCCTCTACAAGTGGCGTGCCTCAAGACACTGTGCTGGGGCCCACTCTGTTCCTGATCCACATCAATGATCTACAGCAGCTTCTCCGGTCGCCATGTGCCTTGTTTGCGGACGACATGAAGATTTGGAGAGAAATCGACGCTCCTGATGACTGTGGCCTACTTCAGCAAGACCCAAAACCGCCTGTACACATGGTCTGCAGAAGTTCTTCTCCCGGTCAACCCAGCCAAGTCTGTATTTATGAGCCTGGGGAAGGGTGTTGACGGCCGAACCTACACCATTGACGGGCAAACACGATATGCCATACCCTCCGTGAAAGACCTGGGTGTACTCTCACGCTACCATTTGAAGTCCGTGGACAACACGAACAGGCTATATCGTAACGGACTGCGCATGCTTTGGGCGCTCAAAAGTAGCTTCGGAACATGGTCTGAAGAGGTTGCCACTCGCCTCTTATCTTCCATCATTAGACCAATGATAGAGTGCGGTTCGCCCTCCTACAATCCGATTACCTGAGGCGAGGCACAAAAGATCGAATGGGTCCAACACTTTGCTACCAGGCTGATCCCGAGTTTACGTGGCTTGAGGTATGAAGACCGGTGCGAGAAACTAGGACTCTACACCTTGTCCTACCGTCGGGTGCGAGTCGACCTCATTATGACCTACCGTATTCTACATCTCGGTGACTTTCCCATGTTGTGGTCAATGCTGCATTTACCAGAGTCATGCAGCACACGCGGACACAGATACGAACTTGTCGTGCCGAATGTGAATTGTGTTCCCCACCCACTGTGCTTCGAACGGAGAGTGGTAAACAGTTGGAAGTTTGTCTGAACATGTGATTGAGGCAACATCTGTGCAACAGTTCAAAACATTGTTAGATTTGTATTTTGCCGCTATTCGATACAGAGAACGACTGCACACGTACTATTACATGTCACATTTGTGAATCCTGAAATATCGTAAGTCATATATTTTAAATGTTACATAAGAAAGACAAAGATATTCACGGCTGACAACTTTTATAACGTTTTTCACCATATCTCGAAAGAGTTGTACAGCATTCATTTCTACATGCTCTATAATAAAGCATTCAGTATTCAGTATATGGTACGCAATTCAGGCTTGGTTACGCTGCTAATGCACGATCTGGCTGCAGTGTAGAACCCGCAGGGAAGAGCAAAAATGTGAATAGCTGTCGTATCTGTCCTACCAACTCTGACTGAAAGCCCTAGGAGTTATAGTGGAAGCTATCGTCGTCTCCTGGGTGAACTCATCCAGAGCTATCAGATCTTGTAAAACCCGAGTCCAGTTTATGGCCGTATTCTGAAGCTTAACCACAACACGAAACTATAGGGCAACGATTTGAAGATGGCCGTGCAACACAGTTGGTTAGGATGCCGCCGGAAAATTTGTAGCCGAATTTTTCAGCCGTTGAACATTTTGTCCACAAACAACTAGAAGATACGTGACACCATTCGCATTACGTAACATTAATTGAGTTCACTAAGTAAT